TTTTTTTTTTTTTTTTTTTTTTTTTTTTTTTTTTTTTTTTTTTTTTTTTTTTTTTTTTTTTTTTTTTTTTATGCTTTATTAGTATGTAAACTAAGAAACAATAAAAATTGTTGTTTTTATAGAATATTAGAATAAAAAAAATGTTTTAATTACATAAACATTTTGTTAAATATTTAGAAATTCAAATATATATTTGGAATTTACATAAAAGTAAATTATTATTTTTATATTTTAAATATTTTAAAACAAATTTTTTTTAAAGTATGCTAATTAAAAAAAATAATTAAAATGGACTTAATAAAATGTAAAAATCATTTTCATTAAAAAAAAATAACATAAAATATTTCTTTTTCCTTTTCCTTTTTTTTTTTTAATTATCTACTTTATATATTTCACTTTTGTTAAATATAAAAAGTTACATATTTTTTTAACTTAGTTTTATGAAATTTAAAAAAAAAAAAAAAAAAAAAAAAAAAATAGCTTATTTATACTTTAAAAATTAATACTTATAAATGAAAAATAGATTAAAAATTATTTCAATTTTTTTTTTTTTTTAAATATTAATAATTGTAATATAGTGTAGATTACAAATACATTCAATGTATTTTTTTTTTTTGTAAATGTATTATGGAAAAAAAGAAAGTTTTGTGTGATGGATGTATTAAAATATTGTTTAGTGTTATTATTATTAGAACATTATTTTAAAACATCTTTAGGTCATATAATTAGTAAAAAATTGAAGTTTTACATAAAAAATTATAAATCCAATAACATTAGGAAGAATAGAAATGTAATAATTCATTTAACAAGAGAAAGCAATAAAGAAATAAAGATTGTCAAATATCCAAATCCAGTACTACGAAAAAAATGTGAAGACGTTATTAATTTTGATGATAATTTAAAGGTAAAAAAAGAAAAAGTAATTTATATGATGAATTACTCTAACAATTAAATAAAAATAAATGAAAATATATTTCATATTTACATTAATTCAAATAAATAGATGGTAGTTTTATTGTATAATATAAATAAATATATATATTTTTTTTTTTTTTTTTTTTTTTTTTTTTTCTTTTTTTAATAGAATTTAATTAGAATTATGTTTAATATTATGTATGAAAATAAAGGTATAGGTTTATCAGCACCTCAAGTAAACATAAGTAAAAAAATTATTGTATGGAATGCATTATATGAAAAAAGAAAAAGTGAAAATGAGAGAGTTTTTATTAATCCATCTATAGTAGAACAAAGTCTAATTAAAACAAAACTAGTTGAAGGGTGCTTATCATTCCCAAATGTTGAAGGAAAAATAGAAAGACCAAATATAGTTTCAGTTAGTTATTTTGATCTTGAAGGAAACAAACATTTAAAAATTCTAAAAGGAATACATTCTAGAATATTTCAACATGAATATGATCATTTGAATGGAATACTATTTATTGACAGAATGACTCAAAATGAAAAAAAAAAAATTAAAGCAAAGTTAAATCAGCTAACACAAGAATATAAAAAGAATTATTCTGAAGAACCAGCTATTTAATAACTTCTATTTCTTTTATTATCTTCATCTCTTTTTTTTTTTTTTTTTTTTTTTTTTTT